TAAATAACATATCAACAATAACATAAAACAAAGGCATATTATTTATAACAAATGTTCGAAATGTTGACCGTCCATTTCCAGGTACTTGTAAATTCTTTGTTCAAAACCACTGCTAACTCTGGACGACATTTGCGGAGTTACAGTTTTAAAAGCGTCTCTTATGCGTGTTTTCATATCGTGTGAAGTTGTCAGAAGCGTATGGTAGACAATTCCTTTTATGTACCCCCACAAAAAGAAATCTAGTGGAGTTAAGTCCGGAGATCTGGGAGGCCAATTTTGAAACCCATTTCTGCCAAGCCACCTGCTTTGAAAGTTGGCATTTAAAAATTGCCGAACTTCGCAGTGCTAATGAGGCGGAGCTCCATTGAAAGGAACTTCTTCTTTCTAACAATATTGAGAGACGGTTTATTAGAAACTGGAGAAACATCAAACCATTTAGATGTCCTTCAAAAAAATAGGGTCCAATTAAATATTGGCCCAGTATTCCACCCCACACATTAACTGACTACCTATTTTCATTTTTCATGACCCTGTATGCGCGCGAATTCGTATCAGAATAATAATCAAAGTTGTGTCTATTCACGAGACCATTGTTATGAAAAGTACATTCATCACTAAATAACACATTTTCGAAAAAATTTTCGTTTTCTGCCACTTTATCTAACACCCACATGCAAAACTCAGTTCGGTTTTCAAAGTCATTTCCATCAAGTTCTTGGCAAAGCTGAATTTTATAATGATAAAAGTTGTTGTTATAAGGATGAAAGCTTTTTGATAATTCTGGAAATACTATTAATAATGATTGACTAATGTTAGTACTTTTGGATATTAGATTTTGACCAACATTGGGATTTTTTTTATAATTGACACTCCCAGTTTCCTCAAATTGGTGTAATAAGCGCTTGAAAACTGTTGGCTTAGGATCATTTCTTTCAGGAAACTTTTGAACATAAACTCGAGAAGCCAATAAACAATTTTTATGAGATTCTCTAAGGGTGAAAATCATGTCAATACGCTCTTCTCTTGGACAATTCTTCATTTTCACTTAGCAACACTATAATAATATCAAAATAACGACCAACACGTCTACAATTACTAAAAACAATACCACTCTAGCTATCAAAAAGAGACTTTGCAGTCTAAACTGAAAAATAAAATAAATGATTTGACATGTGTAAATGGCATAGGCAACTTAGATCCATTGGAACCTTAAATTAAACAACACCAAATGGTGCACAGAACGACTATTTGACGTATTTTGTAAAAAGGCGAAAACTTAGCTATTAACATCAATACCATTCGATAGGTAATTAAAAATTGCATTTCACGGTAAGTTAAAAAATATGGAGTTGTATTTAAATTAATCAAGTTAGAGCCACTTAAAGTTCTTATTTGATTAGATTAGATTTGTGGAAACCCTGTATAACATGGTAAGTTTATTATCATTGGGATATAAGATATTATATCTTGTTACACTTCTCTATAAATTACACTTACATAACTTAAATACTTCTAAAGTATTTGAGACGTGAAAATTAGATTAGATTTTGATTAAATTCGTATTATTTAAAAAACCTT